TCTCTCTCTCTCTCTCTCTCTCTCTCTCTCTCTCTCTCTCTCTCTCTCTCTGTCTCTGTATCACACAAACACACAAAAACATTTGATCAAGAACAAATTAGTGTCAACAGTAATACTGAAAAGAAATAGAACAGAAAGAAACACAAGAGCTTCATCCCATCCCCACTTGCAGTAAAGATATATGTTAGATTGGGAACAAAAACATACAGTATCTCGTGCTGTCAGAAATCTCCATGCAAGTGAATGCAACTTTTTATTGAAACATTACTTTTTAGGGGTCGTAATATTGTGCGACAACAAAATGGATTTCAAACCATGATAAGAAAATATTTTAAACAGTATTTGCATAGCGCATATTCCCATTTAAAAGCTTTATATGAAATTTACAATCTACCGTTTTCTGACAAACTGTCATTAAAGCAAAATGACAGCAAACTGAACAAACAAATGCAAGGTCAAGGAGGCAATAAAGATACACAAGTAAAGAATTTAACAGTTAGGCTACTTATGTGAGATGTGAGGCAGCTTGGTGAAATCAAGTACTTGACAAAACAATAAAATCAAAGAAAATGGCATTTTTTTTGGCGTTGGGAAATTTTAAAAAAATGTTCTTCTTTTGGCTCAACACCTTTTATGTCCTTTTAGACTAAATAAAACTGCATTTCTCTGTAGATGTTACAGAAAAACGTTTATTAAAGGCACGAAAAACATAAATTTCCAGTTTCCAAGGACTCACAAACTTTGGAAGTCACCAAACTTTAGGGGCCATTTTCTCGATAATTTATTTACCTCTCATACTAGACAACTCCCACCTCCTTCCCTTGTAAATATCTCGACTTCTATTCGAGATAGATGGGTATTTTTTTTTGCTAAATGCAAGAAAAATGAACAAGCTTTAAGATGATATTACTAACTCTATATGCCCAAAAACTGACCATCATCTGATTCCACCATAGTCATGACGCGGCGTGACTCAAATGACATGCTCACTCAAGCAAGACATCTAACATGCATCCTCACACTTTCTCAGGCAAGCATGCACACATTTAGACAAGCATGCACACAAATAGACAAGCACTCACAAATACATACACAAGCATAGTTTTAGTTTTAGATACATACACAACCATAGTTTTAGTTTTAGATACTTACACAAGCATAGTTTTAGTTTTAAGTAAGACTTTTACGGCGCTCGTAACTGCATAAGGTTATATGAACGCGTACAAAAGCATATGCACACATTTTATATACATGTTATCTTTTGACTTACATGAAAATGCAACACACGCATGGGTCAGTAGGTGAGGACTGTAGCACATGACGTGACATACTTACACAGTGCACAAACTTAGACGCAACTCACACACACACACACACACACACACACACACACACACACACTCACACACACACACACACTCACACACACACAAACAAACACACACATACACATACATACACACACATACACACACACAAACCCCATAGACACACACACATATATACACAAACACAAGTACAAACACATAGACATACCCGTACACAAAACACACACCTACAACAAACATGCACAACAAAATTTCCAAACAAGCATCACTTGCATGCACTGTTGTAAACACCTGGATGAAATTTGGTTAAGTTTGTAATATGAACAATGTGACATGCTGATGATGAGGAACCAAACTCTGCATTAGCTTTAGTTTGCTCTGAATCCTTGAATATCTGTGATTTGAAATAAACCGAAGCTGCCCTTTTTAAAACATTTTCTGCCTCCATCAACTCATTTTTCGTCACCTAGAGGACGGGTCACTTCTACCGCCTCTGTCTGTGGGCCAATCAGGGCTAAGTGAGACACAGCATTCCACAAGAAAAACTGTGATTCTGGAGAAAATAATCTTCCCCACATGGTAGTTAAACTCATGTCTTTTTTGTGCCTATCCATCGCACAACAGATGTGCAAAAATAATTTGAAGTCATGATAAGGAATCACCACACCATGTCACATAACTCATTCAAGAGAAAGAGAGAGATGTGCATTTTCATCATTCCAGAAAATCAGAATTCTCAAACTCAAACAGTGGAAGGTAGATTGAAAATTTAGCAAAAACATTCTCAATCCACTCTTCATATGCAGAAAACCATCCAGTAAATTATGTTCTTTTTTTCCTCAGTTTGCTGCCGCAGTTATCAGGCTAGGGTTTCCAGCATGCACCTCAAGGCACCAGCACAGAAGTGCTCCACGCAGCACCGGCATAGCAGTGCACACCAACACAGCACTATCATACCAGTGCACATCAGTGCACCACGCAGCACCAGCACATCAGTGCACACCTACACAGCCCCAGTACACCAGTGCACAGAACCAAGCATCTCCAACACAGCACGAGCACAGCTGTGTGCCACCAGCACTAGCAGAGCAGTGCACACCAACACAGCCCTAACACACCAGTGCACACCAACACAGCCCTAACACACCAGTGCACTGCACAGCATCAAGCATCTCCATCACAGCACCATCACACCAGTGCACTGCACAGCACCAAGCATCTCCATCACACCAGTGCACTGCACAGCACCACGCAGCACCATGACAGCAGTGCACACCACCAGCATCCACTCACTCACCCTTCAGGTCAAACGCCTTCACCACCTCGGCCCCTATACTAAATCCTGCGGACCCGTAGTTCATTGAGCTGGGGAAGCAGTGAGAAGAACATCACGATGAAACAGAAAGCATGGACAGCCCGCCACGTTATACTGATCGTGTGCACAGGATGAGACTAACACAAAACTGAAAGTCGCACCTAAATTTCATTCAGCATCGAATGAAACGCAAAGAGAATTACGGCTTGTAATTCAAAATGAATGGTACCCATATAACATGAAAACAGGTTACGACTTTCAATGCATATATATATATACATATATACATATCACATCATGTGCACATCCTTTTATTTTAATAGAGGTCTGGAAGAAGCATGCTACATTTTAAATATTTATGCTCTCATGCATCAGTTATAACAACGCTGTAACTCCCAAAGCAAGATGTGGAGCCAAAGACTGTGAGTGATGTGATGACTACATCAATCGTTTCAACTCCTGTTGTGCGATCCCAGAGGTCAACCCTTGTAAAAGGCCTTCTTCTTCTACTTGTTGTTGTTGTAGTTGTTGTTGTTGTTGTTGTTTTGTTGTTGTTTTGTTGCTGTGTGTGTGCGTGTGTGCATGGTAGCCTATCCATTCAAACTGTTTGGAGCCCCGGAGAGCGTGCTCTTCGCCAGGGCCACCACCTCTCTTGGATAGCGGGTGAGGCAGTCCAACCTCTTTGAATCCTCCCCAAAGAGATGCTACCGCCTGTTGTTGTTGCTATTGTTGTTGCTGTTGTTGTTGTTATTGTTGCTGTTGTTGTAGTAGTAGTTGTTGTAGGCTGCCAACAACAATTCACTTTAAGCACGCTAAGTATTGCCTTTTTCATGAAGGTAGAGCAAAGCATCGGATTTTTTTTACTTACTCAAGGTAGGTAAAAAGGTTATGTAAGGTTAAACAAATCTCTGGACATTGCATAAAATCCAGTGATTATGATAAGTGTGTGCCCTGCACACAAAAAAACATTTCACAAGCAGACCATGGAACAAGATTTTCAGCTATTCGTCTGTGCTAGCTGTTTGGTAACCTAAGACCTGAAAACATTTATGTGTGACAATCCGAGAAGTAAAAAAATTTCAATAAATCTTTACAAGCATCTTCCGAAAACTTGCAATGCAAATCATTTAGAGCTATGTTTACACAGGAGTAAGTTCTATATGAAAAAAAAAGATTTACATTATTACCGTATAGCAAAAACATAGTGAAATTGGCAGGATGTGGAAATCTTTTCATTACGCACGAATTTTCTTATGTATGAGTTTTAAATACAAAAAATAATTGCAGGTATAAGAAAAAATTTGAAACTTAAAAATCTTTTCACTATTCACATATATTTTTTCAGTAGGGGTTTGCTTTAAGCACGTTGGACCGAATTATTATTACTTTAATTGAGAGTTGTGTTCACCTGAGAGATCGCACCCATTTGTTGAGGAATCTATCGCAAAGGACTTAGGCTACTCACAGTCTTTGGTGCACCACAATGCGGTTGGACTAAAACAAAGGATAACTCACCCAAATTATCGAAGCCATGAGTAATCTCATGACCAATCACCATACCAATGCCACCATAGTTCATGGAGCTAGAGGAGGGGGAGTTTAATTAAAGTTCAGTAACGAAAAGCGTCTTGACGGGGTAACGGTCATCTTGGTGTAGGGAAAGAGCAAGACGCAGGCAGAATTGCATACAGACGTATATCAAAGGCCACCAAATATGACTTACTTCTATATGCAATACTGCCCGGGTAGACCAACATATAGAAACAAAAGAGAAAGAAAGAGACAGAGAGGGAGAGGAAAGAAGTAAGGATTTCAGTAGTGCCCTTCAGCCACCCACAAGAAGGGATTGGACTGAGAAGTACGCAGAGAGGTAGATATCAAGTTGTAACCGATGCCTGAAAGCCTGAATATACCTCGTTTCTACCCATTTAGACAAAAATGACTGATATGATGAGCAACCTCCCTCTTTCCTTCACATTTGTAAAATTCTCTACAACACTCAACTATTCTCATTGATTTCTATACATATATAATATGCTAACGCAAGTTACTCAGGATGCATTAATTTTGTATCAAAAGATTATTGAGGCTAGTTAGGTAGAACAATTGTATTCATTGCTAAAGAAAATGCAAAAAAAAACCCCTTCTTTTTCAAACCAATGCTCAGGACACAGCTACCGATAAAAAGTTCTGAGCAACTTTGAGGAGGAGAGAAAAGTGTTTTGTTTTGTTTCCACGAAAAGTTGAAACTCTGGGGTGCAAAGAGGAAACATTTTATTCTGCTTGCTTTAATTTCTTTTATACCCAAGTTTTGACTAGTCATTTTACAACAAAGACCAACGACAACAAAATCCCCATGATAAAATAAGGAAATGAAATTGCCCCTCTTCAACCAGGGTTCAAATTTCAATTCACTAAATGAAAAGGGGAATAAAATAAAAGACACGATTGAGAATGGGACACTTGTGTGCTTTCACGAAGCAATAATGTTCTTTCTGGTTAGGTTAGATGATGGCGTCGGGAGATCAAAGATGTCTTGAAATAAAAAAGTTCAACATAAAAGGGGTATTGGGTAAATCTAGTCCTCTCACAAAATGAGATAAAAGTCTATATTGAGAATCGAAACCATTATCCTGAAAATATATTATATTCTTTCCAGCTGTATCCTTTTAAACAATGAAATAATATTTTCACACTTATATTGAAAAAGCTTCCATCAAAATTTCAATGGGTGCAGTCTCATTAGTGTAATCTTCACTTGAGCTGTTACACAGCACAACTGAAATAATTGGACTACCATTGTGAAAGGTCAGCGGAACCAGTAGGAAAATAATGTGTTCGCCTTTCTTACTTTACTTTTACTTTTTCATCCTCTGTTGCCGTTAAGCAGCAAGGGGAGATGCAGTTTTCTATGGTAGGCCAGCTCCGCAGCTATTTCAGTTGTGATGTTATGTTTTCTTAGGGTTTCCTTGGCCCCCTCGATCCACCTTTTGCGTGGCATAAGAGCCTTGAAAACATGAACTTTCAATCAAAATGTGGAGGGACTTAGGTAAGTGCAACATAGATAAGTGTGACATAGGTAGGGGTTTACCTGGAATAACCTGGATCATACACTGGAGCTTGAAGGAAAGCAGCGGGGAAGACTGAGGAAAAGAGAACGCAGGAACGGGTTATGCAAAAAACAGTACAAGTCTAATTTTAGAAAAAAAAAATCAGGGTACTAGCCCTTTACCAATGACAGTACCTGTAGAATATCCCTTCTGAATCAATCAGGTGAAAAACCAACTAGGTAATTCACAATCTGTGTTTTTATTAAATGAAAACAAGTAAAGATCAAAGTTAACAAAAAACACCCCGTTTCAAATACGGTAAGTCATGGTAGAAGTAATGTAACTTAGCCTGTTTCTCCCTTGACCTCTTCACATGTTATAATTGATTTTTATAGTTTTCGGCCAACTCTGAAAAGGTGTAGATGAGTAATTCTGAAAGCGGAGCATTTCAATCAGTGGTGAAAGAAAAGAAAGTGGTAGGAAAGAAAGAAAACAGAAACATTTATTCATTTCTTTTTTTGCAGACATTTTAAAACGCTTCTATAATCTCGCAGCGTTCCAATGCAGAAGTGCCCATTTTAACATTTTGTGAATGACTTAATTTTGCGAATATCTTTGAAAATTGAGAAAATCCCAATTTAAGTCGGGCGGGAAAAACCCCCCAACCATTTAAAATATAATATTGCTAAGGTGTGCATTTAGAAAAAGAGCGTTATTTTTATTCATTATTACACTTTTAAAGAGTTATTTCCTCCGTTGATTACTTTAAGTTTCAAAAATACTCCCAACACCCCAATTTTTCCATCTGCCATAAGTGTGCAGATATGAAAACAACTAAAATGAAGCAAGCAACAGCTGTAGTATTACAGATGAAAAAAGAATTTATGTATGCATGTGAACACGAGTACATTTATGAATGTGCACAGGTTTGTAAATGTACAGCAATAACAACAGCAATAACAACAGCAATAACAACAGCAACATCAGCAGCTACAGCAGCAACATCTACAACAGTCTTTCATCACTCACTGATTTCATTGTCCAGCACATTATAGTGGGCGTTGACCGTGGCAGGATGGATGTCCCACCTGAAGAGAAGGGAAACGGCAAAAACAACAAATCATTAGTGGCTATCCTTACGCTACTTACTCGCAGCTAACAAGTGAATTGATAGCATTTTCAATTTGTTTCATGATCCCAAATGTCCATCTCTGTCAGTAAATCTCTTCTTCACTCCTTCATTTCTTCCAGGGAAAGCTTTTCCTTGTCCTGAGCAAGCCTATTCCTACTTCTGACGTCTGTAAAGTGGACTTTTCTTTGTGCGAACAATCATTGTTATTTGTTGTATTTCATGTGGTTCTCTCTCTCTCTCTCTCTCTCTCTCTCTCTCTCTCTCTCTCTCTCTCTCTCTCTCTCTCTCTCTCTCTCTCTCATCCCTCCTTGAGTCAACACAGATGACCTCAGAAAATTCAGGTAAGTGGCTATTCTTAACGTTGCAAAGTGATGTTATCCGTCAATGCTTAGTATCAAATTCTCAACCTTTCGAAAGCAAATTCAACACATAAATTGATTCAACAGTCAAAAAGACACAAAGCTTCATCACTGTCATTTACCCCCCTGAAAGTTCACACAACTTCATAGTAACTCATTTCACCATTCTGCTTTTTCTAAACCACTGTTTGATCCCTGTAGGTATGTACAGCGTTGCAGACTGTTAGCTGCATATGTGTCACGTTGTGGTGGAATCAGGCGCTCCTCAAATTTTGGGCATATAGTGTTATTAATACCAGCTTAAAGCTTGTTTATTTGTCCTGCTTTTGGCCAAAAAAAAAAATCCCTCTCTCTTGAATTAAAGTCGAGATATTTGCAATTGGAGGAGGTGGGGTCGCCTGGTATGAGAGGTAAAACTGACGAGAAAACGGCCACCAAAGTTTGGTAATCTCCAAAGTTTGAGAGTCCTTGGAAACTGGAAATGTACGTTTTTCATACCTTTAATTAATGTTTTTTTTGGTTAAATTTACACAGAAATGCATTTTTAAGAGGGCATAAAAGGCGCTTAGCCAAAATAGAAAAAAAATAAAAATTACCCAACACCCAGAAAAATGCTGGGTTTTTTTTTTCATTTCATTGTTTTGATGAGCACCTGATTTCACCACGCTGCCTCACATATCACTCTCATTTTACTCACTTTGATTTGTCCTTGGGCTCCCTCAGTTTCTTCACATTCTCCAGAGTCACAAAGAGCTTGTAGTCTCGAATTGTCTCCATGTATTTGCCTTCATCAGCAGAAATCTGTTGTAATACAATTAATACTCTTGTTGTTGTTGTTGTTGTTGTTGTTGTTGTTGTTGTTGTTGTTGTTGTTGTTCATATTATTATTTCTTTTATTATTATTAATATTATTATCAAAGGTGTAACTTTTTATAATTATTTTTACTAACACTATTATTACCACTGTTATTATTATCATCATCATCATCATCATCAGAGAAAGAGGAGGAGGAAGAGGAGGAGGAGAAGGAGGAGGAGGAGGAAGAGGAAAGTGGTTGTCTTACACAGGCAGACATCTTGGAGAGTATCATAACACTATTTTTAAAATAAAAATACAAGGGATGCTGTGAGAAGTGGTAGTTAAAACAGGTGATTGTCTTGAACAATTGACCGTTAAAATAGGTTAGACTGAATCTGAACCCCCCCCCCCCACCCCCCCCCCCCCCCAAGAAATACCCCCACAACAGACAAATGTGTCACGACATGTTGGAACCAGGCACTCGACAATTTTTAGGCATACAGATTTATTGGTAAAATTTTAAAGCTCGTTTATTTGTCTTTCTTTCGGGGATAAAAATACCCATCTATCTTAGATAGAAGTCGAGATATTTTCAATTGAAAGATGTGGGGTAAACTGTTATCTGGGGTAAAATTAGCGAGTAAATGGCTGCCAAAGTTCAGTAAAATGGGAACTTCTGTAGCATTTTCAGTAAAATTAACATGCTAATGTACTTTTGTATGGACATAAAAGGTGTTGAGCCCCCCAAAAACCCAAAATTCGACAAAAATTGCCAAACTGGAGAAAAAAATGCCTTTTCCTTAAATTTAATTATTTTGACGAGCGCCTGATTTCACAACGCTGCCACACAAGTAAAAACAGGAATGTCTGCAAACCTTCTGGTACAGAGTGTTGAGCCTGTCATCCTTCAGCAAGTAGTCTGGGTATCCGATCTTGTTGCCCATTTGCTTGAGCTGTTGAAATAGATGGATGGATGGATGGATGGATGGATGGATGGATGGATGGATGAATGGATGGATGGATGGATGGTTGGATGGATGGATGGACGGATGGATGGATGGATGGACGGATGGATGGATGGGTGGGTGGGCGACTGGGTGGACAGATGGATGGGCGGACAGATAGTTAGACAGACAGATGCATAAAAACGTAGATAGATGGATAGAGAAATTATAGGCCTACATTAGAAATTGTCAAAGATGGCTACCCATTGTCAAGGATAAAAATATTTGTCTTATACAGGTGGATGTCTTGTCTTACACAGTGTAAATGTCATGTAAAAAGTCCTAGGGGAGAAATGGGAAGTGGCTGTTTGTACAGATGGTTGTCTTATGCAGATGGCTATCAGAGCAGGTTCGATTGTAACAGATGAACATATGTAAATTAACATCCAAGAGAGAGAGAGAGAGAGAGAGAGAGAGAGAGAGAGAGAGAGAGAGAGAGAGAGAGAGAGAGAGAGAGAGAGAGAGAGAGAGAAAGAGAGAAAGAGAGAATGAAAGAGAAAGAGAGAGAATGAAAAAGAGAGAGAGAATGAAAGAGAGAGCAAAAGAAAAAGAGATGGATATTATGCACATCATCCTATCCTCACTTTCTCATTAGCCTTCTCCTTGGTGTCTTTCCCCATCCAGTTGTTTTCTTCCAGCAGTTCCCTGAAGGCCACTGTCAGGTCCTGAATCATTGTCTTCATCTACACAGAGATAATAGATAATGATAATAATTATAATAATAATAATAATAATAATAATAATAATAATAATAATAATATTTTTAAAAATATATATTCATAATAATCATAATAATCATAATAGTTAATTTTAGTAAGAGTTTTACGGCACTCGCAACACAATAAGGTCATATAAGTGCCGAAGATAAGAGGTGTTTCTAAGAGAGTAACAAACACAAAATAGAAGGAGGGGAGAAAAGGACGACATATGTTTGATAGGAAAGAAGGAGCACCCGCCAACCACCCACAATAATAATAATAACAATAATAATAATGATAAATGACATTTACATAGCGCTCAACCCCAATTAAAGTACACCGGCTCTGAGCACTTTACAATACAATACTGTGAACAACAGTAACATAAAACTTTGTGTTCTGACCAAAAGAAATAAACAAATAAATAAATAAACATATGAATGAATGAATGAATGAAAGAACGAATTTATTAAAAACAGATAAAATAAAATAAAAAATAAAAGGAAACCTCATGAACAAATACAAAAAATAAATAGGGGCCTACAGTTCTATTTGCCACTTTTACAGTGCACTATTTCTGAACTAAGCTCAAAAGTGTCTTTCTCAATGCTGCATCAAAGAGACCACCTAGATGAGCACCATGTCACGAGACAGAAAAAAAACAAACATTTAGGACATTAGATTATATTAGAATAGCACTTATTCATTTATTTACATATAAGGTGCTAGTAACAAATTGTGAAGCGTGCTGACAAAATGAGTTACTTCTCCGATTCTAGTCCTATGGAAATGGACACATCACGCTTTAGGTGAAATTTTTACAGTTTATAAGTAAGTTTGAAATAATAAAAAACATGG